TCTGAATGCTGACGCCACTAGCGTGGGTTCCACGCTATCAGCGTGGGAGCAAGAATGGTTTCACGCCATCAGCGTGAGTTCCACGCTATGAATGTGGAGGTCTCTGATTCTTCACACCATCAGCGTGACATCCACGCTATGAGCATGGATCTTCATTTTGGCAAATCTCCATTTGGCTCCAGTTTTATCTGCTTTTCCTACAGAATTAGGAGGAAATCAGTTGCACAATCTTTGATTGAGATTTATCAAATTTAATAGTAATTCTAGCCCTTTTTCTCCAAGATTAATCAAGATTTCTTTCTCATTCTGGCTAAAAATCATATATATGCTAGAGGCATATCAAATAATTCCCAGATTTAAACGTTGCTGTCCCCAGCAATGTACAAGACTCAATTCAGGACATATTCAATTAATCCAACATAACAATCCATAGACACTCTCAGACACAATATGCCATGCATGCCTGACCCAATATCATAAACTCCCAACAATGTCATCAGCTTCTTTAAAGATACAAGTCTACATTGATTACCCCTCACACAGATAAATAATGTCCACTCAACACTCAGTGTTTAAGGGTATCATGAGCACTCAATCAATCACAGCTATAACACTACCATAGGCTTGATCATATTCTCAACAGTGAGGTCTCTCAACAAGAAAATTCAGTGTTTAAGCTCAAACCTCACAGCTATGGTATCAATATAGACTCAAGAAAATTGACCTCAGACATTATCAGAATTTCACAACATCAGTTCAGACAAACGAGCAATCATGTAATCTAATTATACCTATGCAATGTTATGCCAGAAAGTCATACAATATACTTCCAAGAATTTAGTCAAGCACATTAACTAGATAAACACATTTAAACCTGAGAATTACTTGAAAAACAGATCATTTTTTTTTTTAAATCAAGGGCATACAAAATACTACAAAAATAACTAAGAAAATTAAAAGAGTTAGAATATCTCCCCTGATAGAAGAATTGCAGTAGTTCTAAGATGCAAGCCTATCATTCCCAGATTTAGAGAATTGCTGTCCTTAGCAATAATTAAACCACAAGAAAGAAGAAAAACCTGCACAATGGAACAAACAGTGGCATATAGGATAAACTATAATGCGCACATTAAAACATTAGAAAGAGATATACCAACACAAAATAACCAAAAAAAATACGAAACAAAAAAATAAACTAATATACAAAATCTCCGTCAGCAAGGAGATATAATCAACCCTCCATGTCATCCCCTTCAGCAGCGTGGGATGACTCAGCAAATGGAGGATCTGGTGGTACTGGATGCCTTGGTGTATGAGACCACTATTCCCAGATTTGATTCAGACCATGAATCCATGTGAGGAACTCTTTGAAGCATTGATTTTTCCGAGAGATAGAGTCTCGGTGTCTCTTGTCAAACTTCAGCTCCCGGTGTCTCTTCCAACTCGTATCAAAGAGTTTCACCACTTCCTTTCTCATTGCCTTCTTCTTTGTAGGATTACGCCTCCTTTGAAGCGTCCTCACCTCTTTGACATCATCTTTTAGAGTTTGAGGAAGATCCTTCAATTTCACTTTTGAGGTACCATCTTCTTTGTAATCATCTGCTTTTTCAGGAACTTGAAACACTATATTCTTTTTTTCCTTAGCAGGAACAATCTTATGCGCCTCAAGTTCTTCATTAAGTTCTTGACTAGAAGATTTTTCTTCCTTCCCCAGTTGCTCGAGTCTAAAACAATCGCCTTTGCCAGAAGATTGTTTCATAGAGTCAAAGACATTGATGGTAATGACTCATGATTCATCCTTAACTCTAGCTTCCCATTCTCAACGTCAATCATGGCACGAGATGTAGCTAAGAAAGGTCTACCCAGCAAAAGAGGCATCTCAGCTCCCCCTTCCATGTCCAGCACCACAAAATCAGCAGGGAAGATGAACTTGTCCATCTTCACAAGAACATCTTCTATTATTCCACTAGGCTTCCTTACAGACTTATCAGCAAGTTAAAGAGATGCCAAAGTAGGCTTCAACTCGGTGATCCCCAAGGAATTACAAACAGAAAGGGGCATCAAATTAATGCTAGCCCCTAGATCACATAATGCCCTGCCAATTTTGGTGTTACCAATTTCAACAGAAATATTGAAGCTCCCTGGATCATGACGCTTAGGAGGAAACTTCTTTGTAATGATAGCGCTACACTCCTCAGTGAGTGTCACCGTTTGGCATTCCTGCAGCTTGTGTTTTCTTGACAACAGGTCCTTCATAAACTTGGCATAATTGGGCATATTAGCCAAGGCTTCAACCAATGAAAGATTGACATGCAACTTATTGAATATATCAAGAAACCTTCCATACTGTTGCTTCTGATCGTCCTTCTTGAATCTTTCAGGATAAGGTGCCATGGCTCTCACATATTCGGGACTCTGCTCAAATTTCTTCTTTTCAGCAACAATAGGTGGCTCTTTTTCTTCACCTTTCTGAAGAGGTGTCTTAACATCAGAAGGAATCACCTCCTCTTTTTCTGGCTCCTCAACCGCCTTAAGCTTCTCATTAGCTTTCACCTTTGTGCTCAGCTTTTCTGGAGCTGCTACCACCTTACCACTTCTAGTTGTGACAAACATACAATCCTCCTTGGGATTTGTAACTGTGTTACTAGGGAAAGTGCCTGGAGTTCTATCAGCAACTTGCTTAGCCAGCTGGCCAATTTGATTCTCCAAATTTTTGATAGAAGCACTCATGTTTTTAGTATTGGCCTTAGTCTCTTCCATGAAGGCATTGGAGTGTTAAGCCATTTGTCCAACTAACCTCTCCAAATCAGAAGGTTCCTTGGGTTGGATTGGTGGAGGCTGCAGGTAATTGTTAGAACTATAATCAAGACCACCTCCTTGACCTCTCCTCTAAAAATTGCTACTTCTAGAAGGAAAATTCTGATTTCTTGGAGTATTTTGTGGCGGAGGTCTTTGATCATACCAAACGCCATTCACCTGTACTTGTTGAGGTGAATCAGAAGGCATCAAAGGACATTTATTAGACTCATGATTGTCCTGGCAATATTCACACACACAACAGCAGCTTTAGTCTGAACACTAGCAAGCTGCATCTTGTCAAGCCTTGATGTTAAGTTTGCTACTTGCTGAGATAACAAATTGTTTTCAGCCAGCACCGCATCATTACCTTCCAGTTGAAGGATATCTCTCTTAGGCTTTGTTGACAACACTTGGTTTTCGTTGACAGCCATCCTCTCAATCAGCTCAAAAGTCTCGTTTGCTCTCAGAGTTTTTAATCTTCATCCTTTTTTGCAACATTTCTTTAATTTCTAAGTAGTGGATATGCATTGGTCATATTCACTGGTCTTGTTCTTCAAGATTATTGTAGAATTCTCCAAAGCTCCAAAAACTGGTGTCCATGGAAGCCTCGTTCAAGATCTGGTGGTTGGCAATTCCTCCAGAAGGTGAGCCAGTCATTAGCATTTTGACCCATTTTGGATTATCCACAATTTTATAAGATCACGTGTCTTATCCAACCCTTTCAAAATTTTGGGTATTGAAGCAATGTTTGCGCTGTTTTTTTGCCGCAACAGTTCCAATGATTTTTCCACATCGCCTTCCTTTAAGTGCTCCATGAGATCTAGCAAGTTAAACCAATTTGATACGATTCTAATCTAGGAATTCAAGAATTGACCTCTGGAATTAAGAAAAATAAGAGGAAGGGAGATTTTCTTTATTATAGTAAATAAAGGATACAAGAGCACACTCTTGCCAAGGGACTAGCCCTTAAATCTGAGAAAGATTCTCAGCCAAACACTCACAAAACAAATTGCCTGCCTATCTTCTAAGAGGTTCCTCCTTATATCTTTAGATATATTTCATAACAGCTGCCATAACTCAACTCTCACTGCCTCTTTTTTATTTCATAAAGGCTGCCATAACTCTAATAACCTCTCTTTAATTGCTGTTGGGATAACTTCCTACAGGAGTAGACCTTCCATATGACTGGTTCTGTGACAGTTTCAGCAAGAATTTAATAAGCTAAGCCTTAGATTAATATTGGTTTATGTCTTTAAAGTATGGCTTTTGAGAATGATGAATAAGTCTTAGGTTGTGATTACTTTGAGTTTTGAGCATTATATTTGTGTATCAGCTTTAATACAGGTTATTTTTCTTTTGATCTATCTTTTCAATATTTTATTCTTAATAGGCTGCTTTAACTGTATATCGTGTTATGTACGACTTTGCATTGAGGCAATCTTTGTGTGATCTTACTTATCCTTTAAGAAATAAAAAAAAAAAAGTGCAAAAAGAAAAAAAAATGGAAAATCTTTCAAGACTAAAATGCTAAACAAGACTCGATGTTAGTGTATTTGGAATACATTCCCATGTATTTCTTGATTGTAGTTTATGCTTATCGATTTCTGGATGAAAAGTTAAATAAAATTATACCTTTGTACTCTCACCATTTGATAATTTTGTTTTTCTGTCTCATTGTTTTGTCAAAATCATCCGTTTTGTTGTCTTCCACTATATGTTCAAGCTGCTTCTAACCTGTTAAAGTTACCCATTGAAAGAAAATATCATTCCTGACTTATTATATAACTTTTGTGCGAAACTTTGTGATTATATGTTTTGGGTGGTTATTGATCTATGTAATTAGTAAGAAGCTGTAATTAGGTGATCTTATATTTCAAATAGATTGTAAGTAGAGTATTATGTTACCATAAGTTATATTAAATCATGTTAGAAAAATTAAGAAATAATCTCTTTTGATGAGTGTCCCTTTGTAGATACTAGTAAAAGAAGAACAGGAGCAATGTGTAAAAGGTGGAGGTAGGGTCCTCCAACCACATATCTTGTGGAATTGCCTTATTAAGTAGGACTAAATCATGGTTCCTGTATTATATTCAATCATGCATTATTTTGCTTCTTCTGATCATCATTGACATCGTTTTTTATTTCTTTTTGTTTTTAATCATATATGGCTTGCACTTCAGTTGATTTTTGCCATTGTTCAGCTAAAATTGTTGAACAGAATAGCTACTGTAAAAGATGATGGAACTGTAGAATTTGAAGTTCCAGGAGATGTTGAACCTGAAGCTCTTGGTGCTCGATCTAAATATGTAAATAATGTAGTTGATGATTCACTTGACGCAACGGACTTTCATTACATTCCACCGTTGAATATAGTGATGCTTATTGTTGGTACTCGAGGAGATGTGCAACCATTTGTTGCAATAGGCAAACGCTTGCAGGTATAGAGGCATTTTCTCATTCTCAAATTTCTCTTTCATTGCCTTTATATCATATATATCTGTATATATATATATATCTATATGTGTGTATGTGTGTATGATACTAATCGTTGGTACATTTGGATATGTGCAGTCTTTTGTTAGGTATAAAACCTTAGCTTTTGGGTGAGTTGGTCCTTAAAATTTTGATGTGTCATCTTACTGGCTTCCTTCTCTCAGTTTTCCACTACTGCTTCCCGTTTTTCATTCTAGCTGTCTCGCAGATCTCCTCTGCCCCCTGTGATGGGATCTCCTTTCTACATTAGTAAATCAGCAATTGCTTTGATCCTGAGTAGATATTTAGGGATCGTTCTTCCACCTTTCTTCATGCTTCATAACTCTGATTGAAGTTGTCTCAACTTCACTCGCAATGTTGGTGGAAGTAATTGCGTACCTCGGCCCAAACTTGTCATGAGTGAACACAGCCAACTACTCTGCTAAGTATCAACTCTGAGAGGGAAGAGTGGAGCCTGGAAAACAACATTTGATCCTTCTGTTCCCATTCCCTATAATCATCCTTGATTCTTCCCATAGCTCGATCATCTTCAGACACAAAACGAAGAGGAATTTCCTGATTCACAATGAAATGATGGAGACGGTGCGCTTTGATTACTGCCTTAACCCTCTGCTTCCATAACAGGAAGCTCTTTTCATTGAAACATACTGAGATTGAGTGTGAAAACAACACTGGAGCAGAGTTTTGGTTTGTGGTGGAAGATCCTCCAATAACAGGTGAAGGAGGTTTAGAGGATTGATTCTGTTTGTGTGGAGGAGGCATTGAATCTAGGTTAGGCCCTAGATAGGGCTCTGATACCATAATAAAAACAACAAAAAGTGATAGAAAGTAGAACAGAGCAAACGAGACTGAGAGAGAAACTTGTCTTTGAAGGTTTTGATTGTTATTACTGAAAGTTACCTTGTTCTGTTACATGCATCGGTGTTTATAATGAGTGTAGAGCGTAACTGTTGTAACTAGCGCTGCAAGAGTGTAAGTACTAAACTGCAATATAACTCTTGTAATTGACGTCTAAGTAAAGAACTAATAGATTGTGTACACCAAACAAAGTACAGAATATGATTAATGTTAGAAATAATATTATTTTATTATTATTAGAATAGTCTAGAATAGTCTAGATTGTGGGCTTGGCCCATTAGGTCATCCCATTAGGTCTTTTTAGTCTCTATAAATAGAGAGCCTCCTTGTACAGACTTATACACTTGAATATACAATATATTTCAGATTCAATTTGGTATCAGAGCTCTCGATCTGAGGGCTCTGCTTCCGCATATATATTTTTTTTTCCTTTCGTTGTACTGCCGTGCATCATACCGGCAAACCTTTTTACCGCCGTGCATCATACCGGCAACCTTTTTCAACCCTCCGAACATTGTTAGACCCTTTTTCGATCTCAGATCGTCATCCTCCTTCATTATTTGACCAGAAAACACTGTTCACATCGCAAGAAACACTGTTCCGTCACTGTTCATCACTGTTCCGGCCACCTTTCCGGCGAGAAACCACGCGATCAGGATCCCCTCACGCCGGCGACCATTTCTGTCCAAGACCCGTCCCAAACGGCCGCCGCACGCGCCTCCACGCGCCACCACAGCTGTCTGCGCGTGGGCCTCACGCGCCACCTCTCTTCGGCGCGTGTGCACTGTTCCGGCCACCTTTTCCGACCAAACCAAGGCAGACAGGCTCGCCTCTGCCTCCTCCTTCCAGATCCAGTGACCGATCGTTGTGGGTCTCTTCCGTTCGAGGGTTTCTAGTGCAAAAGTCGCTACTTTGTTCCTTTTTCGCGTAATTTTTACAGTTTTTTGGTTGTCTGATCGCTGTTCCTGATGGAAGGAACCAGTAAACATTCTTCCGGCATCATTTCAAGTGCTATTCCATCTATCACAACTCTGAAATTGACCGGATCTGCCACTTACAAGACCTGGTCTACCTCCGTTAAGATCTGGTTTACCGGTCAAGGCCATGACAAACATCTCACCACTAAGAAGACTGATATTTCCCAAGATCAGATGACTGAATGGGAGAAAGTTGATGCTCAGCTCCTCAGTATTCTTTGGCAATCCATTGATTCATCTCTTCTCAATATTTTCATTCCTTTTGAGACCTGCTATGTTGTGTGGACGGAAGCCAAAAACCTCTACACCAATGATATTCAACAACTTTATTCCATTGTCTCCCAGATGATGGATTTGCGCAAATCACCCGAAGCTCGTATGGAAGTTTATGTTGGTAAGATTCGTTCTTTGATGCAGGAATTTTTGGCTATGTTACCTCATGCTGCGGATGCTACAGTGTACAGGACGCAAGTGGAGCGTCTCTTTACGGTTGTGACTCTCTCTGGTCTCCCTGACGGATTAGAAAGTGTTCGTGATAACATTCTAACCAGTACTGCGATTCCCAGCATATCCCAGACCTTTCAGCGCCTTCTGAACCTTCAAGATAAGGTGGCTCCCGCACACGTCACAGCTACTGACTCTACTGCTCTCTTGTCTGATTCTGCTGCTTTAGTCTCTCGTGGTAATTGGAACAATGGTGGTCGCGGTCGTGGTCGTGGCCGCAGACAAGGCGGTCGTGGGCCCATGACTTCATATGGCCCAGGCGGGCGCGGACAGACGATGTCGTATGGACAGGGTGGCCGAGGACAAAGGCCTCGGTGTAATTATTGCCAATATCTGGGCCACATTGAAGAACGTTGTTATAGAAAGTACCCTCACTTGAAGCCACCACATATGAACTTTGCTCAAACAGATGTTGTGCCGCCCTCTACCGGATCGGTGACTATTTCCGCTGCAGACTATGAGGCCCTTCTCCAGAAGAGTTCTTCTCAGCCACCTGCTCCAGATACTGGTAATCATGTTGCTTGTTTTTCTCAATCGTCTCTTGGACCCTGGATAATAGACTCAGGTGCTACTGATCATCTTTGTGGTAATAAGGATCTTTTTACTTCCCTTACCTTTTCTAATAATCTTCCCTCTGTTACTCTTGCTGATGGCACCAAGGCTCCTGCTCGTGGCATTGGGCAAGCCAAACCAACTCCCTTCTTGACTTTAACCTTTGTTTATTACATCCCTGGCATTCCTTTTAATTTAATTTCTGTTAGTCAATTGACCCATTCTCTTTCTTGCTCTATCACCTTTTCTAAACAGTCTTTTTCTATGCCAGATTCGAGTACGGGGAAGACGATTGGAGCGGGCGGTGAGTCACGAGGTCTCTACTATCTGCATGCACCCTCTGCTCCAGTTGCATGCTCTCTCACAGAGTCTCCTGAGCTTCTCCATAGCCGTCTGGGTCATCCAAGTCTCTCGAAGCTTCAGCATATGGTTCCTTTTTTGTCAGGTCTTAAGTCTTTGAATTGTCAGTCTTGTCAGTCTTGTCAGCAGGGAAAGCATACTCGTTCTTCCTTTGCTAGTAGAGTCAATAAAAGAGCTGCTGCTCCCTTTTCTATTGTTCATTCTGATATTTGGGGTCCGAGTCGGACTATGTCAGTTTTGGGTTTTCAGTATTTTGTAACCTTTATTGATGATTTCTCCCGTTGCACTTGGGTTTATTTAATGAAAAATCGTTCTGAGTTATTTTCAATTTATCAAAAGTTTTGTGCAGAAATAAAAACTCAATTTGGTGCTTCTATTCAAATCTTGCGCAGTGATAATGCAAAAGAGTATGTGTCTCTTGAATTTTCTAAATTTTTGGATACACATGGGACTATACACCAGACTACTTGTCCCCACACTCCACAACAAAATGGAGTCGCTGAACGTAAAAATAGACATCTAGTTGAAACTGCACGTACTCTTTTCATTCATATGAACGTCCCACTTCGTTTTTGGGCAGATGCTATTATCATCTCATGTTTCCTTATCAACCGCATGCCCTCTTCTGTGCTAAATAATGATGTTCCCCACAGTATTTTGTTTTCCGGAGCACCTTCTTATCCTCTGCCTTTACATAATTTTGGCTGTACTTGTTTTGTTCATGATCTTACTCCAGGTAAAGACAAGTTGACATCCAAGGCCTTCAAATGTATTTTCCTTGGGTATATCCGTTTTCAAAAAGGGTATCGTTGCTATTCACCTGATCTCAAGCGTTATATCGTTTCTGCTGATGTCACTTTCCTTGATCAGCAGCCTTTTCACTCTACTCCGTCTCCAGTGTCACAAGTTGATCAGGTCCTTCCTGTTCCTTTTCTTGACTTGTCTTTACCAGCTGCAGGTGCCCCTATTCCAGAGGAGCAACCAATTACCTCCATACCTGCAGATCTTCCTCTCCTCACATACCAGCGTCGTCAGCCTGCACCTCCTCCGACTTTGCCTCTTGATGACTCATCGCCTTTTCCCGTCGGCTCTTCTCCTCCGGATCCTCCATCAGAGACTCCTCCCATTGCCCTTCGGAAAGGTATTCGATCCACTCGAAATCCTCATCCCCTTTATTCTTTCTTGAGTTATGACAGACTTGCTTCACAACAGTTTACTTTTGTTTCTAGTCTCTCTTCTGTTTCCATCCCTAAAACCACAGGTGAAGCACTATCTCATCCAGGGTGGCGCCAGGCGATGCTTGATGAAATGCAGGCACTTCACTCTAATGGCACTTGGGATCTTGTTCGTGCTCCTCCCGGGAAGTCTGTTGTTGGTTGTCGATGGGTGTTCACAGTTAAAGTTGGTCCTGATGGCACTGTTGATCGCCTTAAAGCTCGCTTAGTGGCCAAGGGATACACACAGATCTTTGGTCTTGATTATGGGGATACCTTTTCTCCTGTTGCTAAGATGGCTTCTGTTCGCCTGTTTCTTGCCCTTGTCGCCATTCATCACTGGCCTCTTCTCCAACTTGATATTAAGAATGCTTTTCTACATGGTGACTTGCAGGAAGAAGTTTATATGGAGCAACCACCAGGTTTTGTTGCTCAGGGGGAGAATTCTGGAATGATATGTAAACTTCGGAAATCTTTATATGGCCTGAAGCAATCTCCTCGGGCCTGGTTTAGCCGCTTTAGTTCAGTTGTTGAATCCTTTGGCTTAATCAGAAGCAAAGCCGATCATTCTGTCTTTTACCGGCATAGCTCTTCTGGCCAGTGCGTTTATCTCCTGGTCTATGTTGATGACATTATCATTACAGGCAGTGATCAGATCGGGATTGATCAGTTGAAAGAGCATTTATTCAATCAATTTCAAACCAAAGATCTTGGCAGACTTCGATATTTCTTGGGGATCGAAGTTGCACAGTCTAGGCGGGGCATTTCCATCTGTCAGAGGAAGTATGCACTGGATATCCTAGATGAGACTGGAATGTTAGGCTGTAAACCCATTGATACACCTATGGACCCCAATGTTAAGTTATTACCAGGACAGGGGGAGCCACTGCCAGATCCTAGTCGCTACCGCCGACTAGTTGGAAAATTGAATTATCTTACTGTGACAAGGCCAGATATCTCCTTCGCAGTGAGTGTTGCAAGTCAATTTCTTGATTCTCCCTGTGACTCCCATTGGGATGCAGTTATTAGAATTCTCCGATATATTAAAAAGGCGCCAGGAAGAGGTTTATTATATACAAATAAAGGGAGTTCAGAGATCTCTAGTTATTCAGATGCTGACTGGGCAGGTTCTCCTTCAGATAGACGATCCACCTTAGGGTATTGTGTTCTTTTCGGAGGAAATTTGATCTCTTGGAAGAGTAAGAAGCAAACTGTGGTCGCCAGATCCAGTGCGGAGGCAGAATATCGGGCAATGGCAAATGCAACCTGTGAGCTCATCTGGCTGAGACAATTGCTGAAGGAACTCCATCTCTGTGAACAAAGGCCTATGAAGCTCATTTGTGACAACCAAGCCGCTTTGCATATATCCTCTAACCCAGTCTTTCATGAGAGGACCAAGCATATAGAAATTGACTGTCATTTTGTTAGAGAAAAGATCCAGTCAAGGGAGATCGAGACAGCATTTGTCAATTCCAATGATCAACTTGCGGATGTATTCACTAAAGCTCTTAGAGGTCCCCGAATAGATCATATTTGTAACAAGCTGGGAGCTTTTGATATATACGCACCAGCTTGAGGGGGAGTGTTAGAAATAATATTATTTTATTATTATTAGAATAGTCTAGAATAGTCTAGATTGTGGGCTTGGCCCATTAGGTCATCCCATTAGGTCTTTTTAGTCTCTATAAATAGAGAGCCTCCTTGTACAGACTTATACACTTGAATATACAATATATTTCAGATTCAATTATTAATATACAGATAACACTGATATACATAACACTCTAATAGTCAACTCCTCGATTCACCTTGTACCGAGCATTGGCATGTTGATTCACATCTTAAATGGTGCTCAAGGAAAATGCCTTATGTATGAAGAAAAAGGTCACACTCAGATTTTTGAATATTCAAATACTGATTGGGTAGGTTCTTGTACTGATAGAAGGTACACTTTTGGTTACTGTATATTCATGGGGGTTAATCTGGTATATTGGAAATGTAAAAGGAAAAAATGTGGTTGCAAGATCGAGTGTGGCCCCAACTGCTTTCATACTTATCCAGCCAAAACAACGTATTATAGGGCTCCAGTTTGAAGAGGTTATGAAAATGTCACTAGTTTCTGATAACCATGCTGCATTACATTTCTTTTTTTTCTTTTTTTTTTTTTTTTAAAAAAAACTGGTCCTACAAAATATATAGCCAAACATAAAGCTAAAAGAAACAAAAAATAATGAGCAATCCCTAGAAACTAGGAAAAAAGGGAAAAGTTGGGTACAATTCCTATAATTTTCAGATTCTGTATATCCCATAATTTTAGAGATTGTTTCCTGCTGTATATCCCGTAATTTCAGATATTGCTTTCCTGTCATATATTCTATACTTTCAGGTATTGCTTTCAGCTGTATATCCCATAACTTCAGGGATTGTTTTCCAACACAAACAAATGAAGAGAACGGAGATATTACAAACATGAGAATCCGTGTTGGGAGTAGATCCTCTCATGTGTTAGCTAATATCATCATGTCATGTGAGGGAATGTGAGGGACTCATAACTATACAAAAGTGAATCAATGGTGATGAGGGAAGAGTGGGAAAAATTATTGGGATAGGTAGTTACGAAATCATCACCGTTAATTCCTTGTATGATTATGATCCTCCCAGATGATACGATCATGTTAACTAACGCATGAGAGGATCCATTCCCATCCATGTTTGGTATTGCTTTTTCACTTGTCTTTGATATCTGGAGTTGCTGTATCTTCGGTTATATGTTTAGTTTCTTTGTGGCTTCCCGTTCCTTCGTCATACAAAAGTTCTTACTACTCACACTGTTCTGACTTCTGTAGTAAATATCATTGAATTATTACATTGTTGAGTTTGGTTATCTTAGGAGGAAAAATATATGAAATATGAACTGAGATTATTATCTGCTAATAATTTTTGTCATGTTATTATTGTCTACAGAAGTGAGTTTTTTTATATGCATTTATGTGCAGGACTATGGCCATCGTGTTAGATTAGCAACACATTCAAATTTTAAGGAGTTTGTTTTGACAGCCGGGTTGGAGTTTTATCCATTAGGCGGTGATCCAAAAGTCCTTGCTGGTTGTATGTACTATGTACCCATTTACAAATATCTTCTTCTAGTGTCTGACCTGACTTGTGCATACATTTCTAAATTTCTTCTGTCCCATAATCCCTTCCATTGTGTTTTAATTTTGGAAAGTCATAGAAGAATTTTTGGTAAAATTATTTGGAGTTTATAAATAATTTATCACTGAAGTGGTTAACTATGTCAATATTTTGCCATTATTTTCTTAACCAGTAAGTGATTGAAAATGGTTGGAAATTATTTTCTGCATAACACTTAACTCTTTATACTAATTCAAATTGTGTTTCTGGAGGTGCATTGGTGTCATGGAATCTTATGGTTTGTTATGATGGTTTTAGTGTATTTTGATAGCATTGCATGCTTGTTCAAACTTACCACCCTTTTTTTTTTTAAATTTTTATTTTTATTTTTATTTTGGGGGATGGGATGGGGGGTTCTAGTGTTTGTCTGTGTGTGCCCATTTGCATGTCTTTGTATATGCTGTGAACTCATTTTTTATTTTTGGTGAAGTATATTGTTAAACCCCAGTCCGGACTAGTTTGTTATCATGAGAATGATATTAAACGCAGTATATTTAATTAAATAAATGCGGAAGCTAAACTAATTGATTTTAACAATTAGATTTATAAAAAAACGTGAATAAATTTTTTCCTTCTTAAGATGTATTGCATTGTATCCCAAAAATAACTTGTGTGCCAAGCAACCTCTGCTAACATTGCTCGCTGAAGCGAGCATGTTAGTGAGGAAACCACTTCAGCTCGCTAAACTGCTTTCTTGTGTGATTTATTTTCTGACAGTAACAAGGGCTGTCCATTGGATTTGCTCGCTAAGCTACTCGCTTAAGCAAGCAAGCTAGCGAGCAATTTAATTTTGATGCAGTAGCTACTTCCATCTTCCAATTCTGCTCGCTTGAGCGAGCAGAGTCCAATCCAGACAGTGTCCACTGTCTCGCTCGCAGAACTGCTCCCTAGACTGAAGCGAGCAGAACCTGAATGGCAAAAAGAATAGCCTCTTGCTGGATTTTAGCATTCAAGGTGTCTTATGACACTTACTCACCTGATAGACAATTTCATATAGGTGTGATTACCACAATGCTTTCATTAAATTGACCACACATCAAGGGATAACACAACTAGCTTTCATCAACTAGCATGTGTCTTGGCACTATGCCATAATTCATATCTCACTTGATCTCCAAGCTATCAAAATTTACAATGTTTACATGTCCCATAGATTTCATACATTGCATAATCATGTTGCCTAGCAATCCATAGTTCATATCCCAAAATGACATATCCAGCATAATCATTTACATCATTACGTGTACATATTCCCATTGTCTATACAAATTACAAAAGATGCTCAATAATTTACTTTAACATAGTATTGTAAATATTAGAATTAATATTGTAATTATTTACTTATTATTTGTATTAGCTAGAATACTCTAGAAGTGTCTTTGGGCTTAGCCCATTAGGTTTTTTAATATCTTTAAATAGAGAACCCTTGTACAGATATTATACAGTTCAATAATATACAATTCTTTCCTTTCAATTTGGTATCAGATGGTGAGGGCTTTGCTTCCGCATCTATTGCCTTTAAAGAGGAATCCTTATATTTTGCATTGCCCTGCCACTAGCCGCCATCGGAAAATATTTCCGAGGACCTTTTGGATCGAGAGGACCACTGATTGACGCTCCAATCACTGTTATTGTTGAAACACCACCGTTGAACACCGTCTGGTGAGTTTTCTGGCGATCCACCCATGGTTGTGATCGCCAGGACGAGGCGACCTCTTCTATCCAAGACCCACCTCGAGATTCCTTCTGATGCTCTCTCATGTGCGTGGAGCAGATGCACTGCCTCCGGATCTGCAGAGGCGGTGAGACACCCCCTTCACGCGCTACTAGTACAGACCAGCTCACCTCCTTCTTTTGAGTTTGGATCTGTGATTATCTTGTGGTTTTGCCTCTGTTGCAGCCTTCCTATAGCCTGTTTGTTACTGTTCCGGTCTCCTTGTTACTATTCCGGTGACGTTGGACCTTTACCGTTCTGATCAAATAGTTTTTCAGTGAACTTTATGTCTGACATTGAAGATAATCCGATCAATTAGCCATCTGTTACACCGTCTATGGCTTCTCTTAGTCCAAATGATCTGCCTGCTCTCCGTCAGAATTATCGTCTTAATGGAAAAAATTATTTGCAGTGGTCTCAGCTAGTTTGTACGATTCTCAAAGGGCATCGTAAGATTGCTCATCTTGAAGGACCTGTTCCTGCCAAAGCATATCCAACTTTTGCTGATTGGGATGATGAAGACTCTCTTATTATGACGTGGCTAAAGAACTCTATGACTCCTGAGGTTAGTCAACATTGCATGTTCTTACCTACTGCTCTTGAGATATGGAATGTTCTTCTTCAGACCTATTCAATGAAACAAGATGCTGACACCTGCTATGATCTGAGGAATAGGATTTTTTCTACCAAACAGGGCTCTTTCTCTGTAACAGAGTATTATGACAATCTGAATAGATTATGGACTGAGCTAGATCAATATCAGAGTTTGAAGATGGAGTGCAGCAAGGATGCAGCCACTCTAGCCTCCTCCGTTGAACGAAATTGGATCTTTAACTTTCTTTGTGGCCTCAATTAAGAATATGACCCTATTCGGGTTCAAATCATTGGTAAGGAAAAATTACCTTCTCTTTCTGAAGTTTTTCATACTGTCAGGGTTGAAGAAATTCGTAGGAGTGTCATGATGGATACTAAGTTGTCTGAAGGATTTGTCATAATCTCGTCTAAAGTCATTACTTCAACTCTTTCTGACGAGTCTGCTATGATGTCGGCTAAGCCACCTCAGGGGTCTCCTTTTATTAAGTGACCTCAAGGGTCCTCTTCCTTTAAGCCCAACAAAGAGGGATGTTGGTGCAATTATTGTAAAAGACCAGGTCATACAAAAGAGGTTTGCTACCATCTTCATAGGAGGCAGTAAGTTCTGGAGAAGCTTGGTAAGTCACCTTCACGTGGTCAATCTTTTTTGGCCCCTTCAAACAATCCTCCTGTGAATGAGACCTCACAAATACCTGGTGAGTTTACTACTATTCGTTGTGAGGAATTGGAACGACTTAGGTCAGTATTTGAATCTCTCAATAAGCCTTATGGTATTGGTACTTTGGCTGTGACTGGTAAGAACTCATGCACTCATTCTTTCTCAGTTTATGTTAATCAACATCTTTCTCAGTTTATTAAAGACAAAGGAATGATTCATGAACTCACACGCGTGGATACCCCTCACAAAATGGGGTTGCTGAAAGAAAAAAACATTTGCTTGAAGTCACCAGAGCATTATTGTTTCAGACATCTGTACCCAACTCTTACTGAGGAGAAGCTGTATTAACTGCAACCTATTTGATTAACCGTTTACCTTCCAGAATCCTTGGCCATGTAAGTCCTGTTGATCTCATGATCTCTTTTTTGCCTTCTGTTCCAATTATACAGAGTCTTCAGTCTCGTGTCTTTGGATGCGTTGTCTTTGTCCATGTCCATAAACAACATCGGAGTAAATTAGAGCCTCGAGCCCTTAAGTGTGTCTTCCTTGGTTATGCTCCCAACAAGAAAGGATACAAATGTTATCACCCTCCGAGTCGTAAATTCTTTATGTCTATGGATGTTAGCTTCCATGAATATGAGTCCTACTTTCTACCTCCTCAGCTTTAGGGGGAGAACAATATTGAAGCTCCTTCCATTTTCTTTGAGTCTGAGTCTCCCCTTTCGTTTCCTACATCATCTCCTACCCCAGTAGTTACACTACATGACAATGAGAAGGAAGACTTTGTTGATGAAGCTGAAAATTCATCTGATTCCTCTTGTGACATGCCTCTAATTGATCGACAAAAAGTACGCAAAGCTGGGACACCTGAACTATTTTACGAAAGGAAGAGACAATCCACACTGCCCCACCAGCAGCTGCAATAGCCTGAACCGTTGGTAAGTACTGAATACACTACCTTTTTTATTCCTGAGCCTGATAATAATTCTGTTGACTTACCCATTGCTGTAAGAAAAGGGAAAAAGTCTTGTATCTGACACCCTATTTCTCATTTTGTCTCCTCTAAGAATCTCTCTATGCAACATAAAAGTTTTATTACAGCACTTGACTCCATTTCAATCCTGACATCAGTACATGAAGCATTAAAGGATGACAATTGGGTTCAAGCCATGCATGACGAGATGAATGCATTGGAGAAAAATAATACATGAGAAGTCGTTGACAGGCCAAATGGAAAATGGGCAGTAGGATGCTGATGGGTTTATACTTCGAAATATAATTCTGATGGGACTCTTGAAAGGTATAAAGCTCGACTGGTTGCCAAGGGGTACACACAGACCTATGACATTGATTACGAAGAAAAGTTTGCTCCAATGGCCAAAATGAACACTGTAAGAGTTCTATTGTCCCTTGGTGCTCATTTTAATTGGGATTTGAGACAATTTGATGTGAAAAATGCCTTCCTCTATGGCGAATTGAAGAAGAGGTTACATGGAGATCCCACCAGGATTTAACTCTACAAATGGAGAAAACAAAGTTTGCAGGTTAAAGAAGACATTGTATGGTTTGAAGCAACCCCCGCGTGCTTGATTTGGAAGATTTACAAAAGTTATGCTTTCATTGGGGTACAAACAAAGTCAAGGATCGTACACTTTTCTTTAAACATTCTCAGGAAGGTAAGCTCACTATCCTTCTAGTTTATGTTGATGACATTATTATAAAGGGGATGATATAAATGAGAAGCATGCTCTGCAAGAAATATTGATTGCTGAATTTGAAGTTAAAGACCTTGGAAAACTGAGATATTTTCTTGGAATAGAAGTTGCTTATTCAAAGCAAGGGGGATCTTTATTTTTCAACAGAAGTATGTTCTTGATCTTCTTAATGAAGCAGGAAAACTTGGGTGTAAACTAAACCTTCCAGTACTCCAATTGAGCAGAATCACAAACT